TTTTGACTTTCTAAAAAAAATACAAACAAAATATAATATTATTTATGGTCTTTTATTCAGCAAGTTTTACTGTAATATTTCAGTGTGAAGGAAATTTATGAATGCATTTTTTAATGCCGTTTACAGGATCCTTATATGCTCAGAGGTCTGCAGCTGTTCCCACCTCTGTCACAGCCATGTTCCCAGGCCAGACCTCCACCCTCAGTCCCAGAATCCCCTCTTCCTCCTCCTCTTCCTCCTCAAAGGGCCCTGACTCTGTGGAGCTGGCCACAGGAGGGTCACCCTAACGGTCACCAGCTCCCTGAACCAAACAGCCAGTCAGTCCAACCCAAACTAGTCTTTCCTCGGAGCAGCGGGAGCCGTTCTGCCCTCTAGAGGCGACAGAGCAAATTCCAGTCTGCCTCCCGCACAAACCACAGCTGTGTTTTCCTTCCAGTGAAGGGGGGACCACACACATACACTTTTACAAACTCATCAGCTGTTGAAGCTCATCACGGACCCCACCTGCTCTTTTCTCCAAGATGTTTTCTCAGGACTGAGAAGGTTTTTAGAGATGTTTGATTCAACAGAATACCTCAGCTGTCTTAATCTCAGTGCTATCGTGAGTGGAAACACTTCGGTGATCGTGTAATCATGCCTTTCCGCACCTACAGTCATTCACTCACAGAGATGTGCGAAGCAATCATGGCATGATCAAATCTACTTCTGCTATTTGTGAGGTTGTGGTTGACACCTGCGGTTGTTTTTTTCTCTTTTTTTGCTGTCTATTAATTCTCTTATTTAAAGTTTGCTGAATTTACCTCATCTGCAGTGAATTTAAGACTCAGGATCGATTATGATACTGCTGTGTTGCTCTGTCTAATTTGATGGAGTTTAAAACGCGCTACAATCCCCATCAAGTGTTGCAAAGTTGGTTTGGTAAGAAAAGGGGTCAGATATTTTCCTTTTAAAAAAATTATTTACTTGGATTTTATTGTTTTCTATTTCCGTTGTTTTTTAGCTTCTAGATTTAACTTGGCATTGCACACTATGAATATTGTTTGCTCTATGATAGATTGCAATAAGATAATTATTGCCTTTTTTTTCCCCAACAGTTCAAAATATCGGCGAGATTTTGTAAAAATGTTTTTGAAAGAAATCTTGGGCTTCAATTCTCATTATTTGACCAAAATACAGGAAAAAATGTAATAGTGTGGGATATTATTTTGAAATATCTGTTTTCCATGTTAATATATTTAAAAATGTCATTTATTCTTGTGATGGCAAAAAAGTCTTTAGTGTCACGTGATCCTTCAGAAATGCTCATTTGCTGCTGAAAACATTTGATATTTATGTTCAAAACATGTACGGCTTAATATTTTTTGGAATTTTGTTTCCAATTTTGTGGAAACATGATAAAAAAAAATTCAGGATTCTTTTGATGTTCTAAAAAAGTTGTTGTAACATTATGTATAGTCATTTTAATACTTTTATTCAGCAAGCTTGCATTAAATTTATAAATTTCTCAAAATAAAACAGAATGACTGACTCCAAACTTTTGAACAATAGTGTATAATACAGAAATATTTTGGTGTGAAGTAAATTACTGAATGCATTTTTTAATACTGTTTACAGGATCCTTATATGCTCAGAAGTCTGGAGCTGTTCCCACCGCTGTCACAGCCATGTTCGCAGGCCAGACCTCCACCCTCAGTCCCAGAATCCCCTCTTCCTCCTCCTCTTCCTCCTCAAAGGGCCCTGACTCTGTGGAGCTGGCCACAGGAGGGTCACCCTAACGGTCACCAGCTCCCTGAACCAAACAGCCAGTCAGTCCAACCCAAACTAGTCTTTCCTCGGAGCAGCGGGAGCCGTTCTGCCCTCTAGAGGCGACAGAGCAAATTCCAGTCTGCCTCCCGCACAAACCACAGCTGTGTTTTCCTTCCAGTGAAGGGGGGACCACACACATACACTTTTACAAACTCATCAGCTGTTGAAGCTCATCACGGACCCCACCTGCTCTTTTCTCCAAGATGTTTTCTCAGGACTGAGAAGGTTTTTAGAGATGTTTGATTCAACAGAATACCTCAGCTGTCTTAATCTCAGTGCTATCGTGAGTGGAAACACTTCGGTGATCGTGTAATCATGCCTTTCCGCACCTACAGTCATTCACTCACAGAGATGTGCGAAGCAATCATGGCATGATCAAATCTACTTCTGCTATTTGTGAGGTTGTGGTTGACACCTGCGGTTGTTTTTTTCTCTTTTTTTGCTGTCTATTAATTCTCTTATTTAAAGTTTGCTGAATTTACCTCATCTGCAGTGAATTTAAGACTCAGGATCGATTATGATACTGCTGTGTTGCTCTGTCTAATTTGATGGAGTTTAAAACGCGCTACAATCCCCATCAAGTGTTGCAAAGTTGGTTTGGTAAGAAAAGGGGTCAGATATTTTCCTTTTAAAAAAATTATTTACTTGGATTTTATTGTTTTCTATTTCCGTTGTTTTTTAGCTTCTAGATACAGAAATATTAATATGATTTGAAAAGAGTTTTGAGTTTGAAACTGCATTTTACACAGCGGAGATGTTTTGGTTTTTTGTTCTTATTTAGACATATTTACAGGCAACAGTTTGGTTGAAAGATTTTTCTCTACCTCAGACACAAGACAATGTATGGTTGAAAAGAAATTATGTGGACACGCGTGGTTTGTGTCGCACGTGTCAATCATTTCAGTGCGTTGGACGATCATGTACAGGCTCGTAAATATAAGAGCCTCGATTAATGTACTATTCTTCTGCTCTGCTACGCATACGAGTCCTTTAAAACAAACCAGGTCACGGAAAAGCAGGATAACATTCAAATCAAAGGAAGATTGGATGTTTTTTTTATTTTGTATTTTTAATTGTTGAACTTCAGACCTCACGTATCTTTCCATACATATCTTTCCATATTGGAAAGCGAGTTTCTCAGGAATTTTTTTCTTCATAAAATTTTAACTTCAGAACCTTCAGAAGTCTCGCTCCTGAAACGAATGACACTAGATTTAACTCGGTCAGTGTGGGACTGAAATGGCTACCTCAGTCAGGATTTAGCTCGGATGTAGTTCAACTGCCAGCAGTACGTCACTGAAGTACTGCTGTCTTTTAATGCAAAAAGTCTCTCAGGTAATGAATTAGCGTGATACCTCAGTGAAAGGCAGAACAACGTTAATACAAGTGCGAGATGAGATTGTTTGAAGAGTTAGATGCAGTATCTCATATCCATGAAGTATTGATTATCGCATGTCAAACTGACTTCCTGTACTTCCGATACACTTCCAGTAGCAATCGAGGCTTGTTGGTTGGCTGTGTTCACATACTCGTGCTGATTTAGCCTCGTCAGCAATTAGCTTTACATTTTAGCCATTTAGAATCCTGCATTTGCTTGACCCTGGGACCTGCTGGGATACAGACACTTTTAATTTCTTCTGTTTTAATTTCTATATTCTTCAGGTAACGGCATAGCTGAAAACCAAAGACCATGTGTTTGTTATCCTCTTTGATGACCTCACTGTATAGACACATGCAACTTTACACAATGAAATTAAAGTCTGATCTGATGCAAGATTTTTTTCGTTTTGTGTTTTTCTTAATCTGTGTGTGAAATATGACTTTTTTTTATTTAACTGTAAAGTTGATTGTATACCTTCATCATGGTCAAATTTGTTTTATTGTTGCTTGCTCAAATATTGATTTTGGATAATTTTTAACCAAAAAAAGTTACGGACTGCAGCTTTAAATGTAAAAGTCACTTTTACCCCAATTTTTTGTTATACAGTGTTAATATATAAGCTATACAAGCAAATATGATTTTAAATAGAATAAAAAATTTAAATCTAAATTAAAATATATATTTTTTTTTTATTTTGGGGGGCTTGAAATGTGACACCATGGGTGGTTTTGCCAGGGTTATTATTGTAACAAAAATGTATATGTATATCAGTTGCCACAGAAACGGTTCTCATTTAGTTCTCATCTCAGTTCTCACTGCTTAAAGTAATAAAATAAATAAAACTTAAATTTAAAAAGACATAAAAAAAAAACTAATATAGTGAAAAAAATAATATAAAAATAACTATTTCAAAATAAAAAACTATAAAGTCCAAAAAAAAACTAAAAATGATGCAGTTCATGTCTTAAAACACCAAGAGGCAGTACATCAATCATTTGCTTTCGAAATCAGAGTTATGTCCACACCTTAATCTAATTGAATCTGATTTTGTAAATCTGCCTTCATAATCCTTAAAGTCTTTGATGAGAGAAAGTGCATGTAATATTTGAAATGCATGCATATTTACTTCTGTATCTGCTTAAAACAGCTACTCACATTAACAGAGTAGAGATTTTGATTACGTGCAGAACTCGCAGTGGATGTGACAGATGCTGTTTTGTGGGGGTGGAGAAATGGGATTGTTCTGTTGATGCCCTTTTAATAGGCACAGTGTGGGACACATGGCATAGTTGTCCTTGACCCGTCACCAGTAGAGTGTCTCTTCTCGCCATCTCTGTCATGTCCCGCCCCTGTCCTGAGCAGGACCACCCTCTAAACTCATCTCAGTCTCTCACCAAGGGAGGCAGTGGAGAGGATTACTACCCTGGACATAATCAAAAGACAGATGTAGTAGAGGAAAGATCACAAGAGGAGAATCAATGGGATTTTGTTTAGACTCGATGACGATTTGGATTTTAATTATATAGAAAAATTATTCTGACAACTTGATGGATGGTATTACACAGTTGGTCTTGCTGCTTTGCTTTGGGAAACTGGTTGAGGTCCATCTTAAAGCATTTTGACGAAAGAAAGACTCAAAACCAGTTGTGACTTCTAGGTAAGAAAGCACACAAGTGTCCAGTAGAACATTCAAAAGAAACAAGTTGTTCAACCCTAGAGATGCATACAGATGAGAGATCCTGCTTCGACTAGTGGAGTTCAGCTTCACAGTTCTGAAGTTACCTCTTTGGAAATACATGATGTTACTTCAGAAGGTAAAGATGAAGTGAGAGCTGTGGTGTTCCTTGGTCATCATGCCTACTGAGGAGGAGGAGAACTCTGGGCAACCTGTGTGGCAATCCGTCCTGCTGTTTAGCTGTAAGGGAATGATCGAGGGAATCATTGTCCTATTGTTTCTCTGGTTGCTGGTGCAGGTGCTCTTCACAAAACAGCATGACGGTATGGTATCTAACCTACATGCACACTTGAGACATGTTTGTCAGGCAAGTAGTAGACAAGTTGTCCATTCAGTGCGAGATTTCAGATACAAGTACTGCAGTTCACGTCTGGATTTTACTGTTCTGTTACTGAACACTGACTTTATGCAGATTAAATTGTTTCCTTTGTTTGCGGATTACAGTTGTTCTGACATTTGGAATGATAGTTACAGATTAAAATGCTGTTCAAACCCTCCTCTATCTCTTCAGTCCACTTGCAGATTCTGCTGAGTGTGGGTTTGGTGGTCCTGTGTTTTTCCCTTATCTTGGGCTGCATCATTTGTTGGTTAAAGACCAGACACAAACCACCCGAAGGCAAAAAGACTGTGAGGACAAACCCTCCTCCTGATTCTGTGGATCATGTGTCTGTGGCTTTGAGTCCTGCCCCTTTATCTGGAGCCACATTTACCAAATTGCAGTGTGAGGAGCTGGAAGGATCCCTTCAAGACTATCCATCTGCTTTCGAGAGCTCTACGCCATCAGATGAAGAGTTGACTGCTGTCTCTGAGGTTAACAAGTCATGCTTCCAAATGAGACGACTCAGTTCACCATCAGTCTCCTCTTCTCTATTCAAGCCCATGGCCAGTGGTCGCTCCTCTCTCCCCTCTTTCCCAAGACTTAAGTCTTCTCACAAAGACCCGGAAGGTTCTGGAACATCACTGCACTGTGGCTGGAGATAGTTACTCGTTTAGCAAACACAGAAGGCTCACTATTCCCAACCCACGATCACCCTGTGCCCTTTCTCCACTTCAAACCCAAGGTCTACTCCAGGACGAACCTTTAATTCCTAACTATGGTTCAAATTCTTGCAGTGAGACCTCAGATCCCTTCTTGCACTTTACCCTGACCTTCTCTTCAACACAGAACACAATCACTGTATCCATAGTGGGTATAACAGGTGCAGTCCATTGTCTAGAAGAAGTGACTGTCCAGGCCACGCTGCCCCCACTTTGCCCTGGACCTCTGGATATAACTGCCCAGGATTACAACCTAAGCTCTGGACTCTATAAAAAGAACTTGGTGATAAGTGTTGGATCTCTAGAGGGGCTTAAAGGTTGCATGCTCAGACTGGGTATCTTCATGCAGGACAATCAAAAGACATCCCTATTTGGTCCAAGAAGGACACTTTATAGCTCTTGCTACGAGACTATATTGTCTTAAACATTAACCCAAACATTTCAAAGACCTACACCTCGTGTTCTCTTTCAAAGGACAAGAATGGTTAATTTTTTATTCAACATGCTGAACTTTAATTGGATATGGACATTGATGTTCCTCTCAGAATATGACCTCCCAAGAATCAGAAAGAGGTCACAAGGCCTTTGGTCAGCTCTTCATCTTGTTGCAGTACCAGATTGTGGTTCATTGACTGAAAGTCCTCATCCTGAAAGCAATCTTACCAACCAGACTCCAGGTGAGATTAAAATACACTGTTCTCACCCCCTCCCAAATGGTACCCTTGCCCTAATATCAGTTGGACTGATAGCTATACAAGTTTATAGATCATGTTGACCACTCTGAAGTCCTGAACAGTGGAACTCTCAAAAGGGGAATTGAGAGCACTCAAAAGCACCATTCTGAACCCTAAAACAGGTCTCATCAACTCCAACCCTGGAGGGCCAGAGCTGAGCTCTAACCCTAACCAAACACTCCCAAACAAGTTAATCAAAGTATTGAGAACTACTTGCAAATAACAACAGGGAGTTAAACTGGGATTGATACTAAAGTCTGTAAAACACTGCCCCCCAGGACTGCAGCTGAAGAGTCTTCTCTCTGAAGAGTCTTCCCTAAAATTATAAACAGGATACCCTACTACTGGGGTATCCAAACCTGTAACAGAGGCCAGCTGGTAAGAGCTGTGCAGGTAAACCTCACTGCCCTAAACTCAAGAGGCGCACTAGAGGCTGTGGTCTTTAACAACCTTGTCAATGCGCTCGCCTCCCATGCTGGTGACTCGGGTCCGAGTCCCACTTGGTGTGGAGTGGTTAGGCCGGAGGGGTTCCTCCTGGAGGCCTATCATCCTGCAGAGTTTAACTACAACCCCAATCAAACACACCTAAACCAGTTAATCAAGGTGTTTGGGATTACTTGAAAATAACATTCAGGTGTGTTTGAACAGGGTTGGAACTGAAGTTTCCAGAAGGTAGCCCTCCAGGAGCTGGATTCGTTACCTCTGCCCAGACTCGCAGTCATTTACTGCCCCCGAATGGAAATTCAAAATCATTTTATTATTCAGAAGGGTGCTCACAAGCTAGTATATACCATCAGTGTCCCCTTTCTCCATGGCCATACTGGTGCGGACTTCACAGTAGACTTCTACCTGGCATTTTTTGTAAATCATATGACCCAAATGTGGACTTGGAGGAGGACTGTTAGAAATGAGGGTGGCATTTAGGACAGGGCAATTAATAGGCAAAGATCCATTACTGTGATTGAGTGGGGCCAAAAAGATGACAAGGTGAGCACATCTGTGTTTCATGACTTGACAGAGGTGGCATGAATTTATTGTGTGATCGGAGATTGGAGTTCATACTTAATCTCCATCTCACAAAATACACTGCATTCACCTTCCTGTCTTAAATTCTGCATTAACCAAATTTCACACAAAAAATTACACAAAGCTTAAAATGTCAAGAGGTGCCATATTGTCCACGTACAATGCAAAATAGTTCCCAGAAAACTGTTTAATGTCCTGGGAGTGCAGGAAAGCATATTGCACCACAAATCCCTCCTATCAGATAAATGAATACATTTGTCATGATATGACAGCACATCTGCCATATGCATACGGCAGGTCCAGCTTACATGACTGTTATGTAAAAGCAAGAGGATTTATCCATCATAAACTAAGCCTAAATGTTTGCTTTTAATGTTCAGGATTAAACGCTTGTCTTACGAGAGCCAAGATCCACAGGGGATCAGCCTATTTTAATGACATTGTAGTTTAATCCCCCCCCCCCCCTTCAATCCTTCAGACGACAGTCCGATCCCTTTCATTTCAGACCTGCTCAAACCTCAGCAATGGGAGGTCACGGCCATGAGGTCAATTACTTGTACAGCATTCATCTCCATAGATAACACATATGAAATCTCATAGTGTTACATGTGTTGTGCGACTACATATTAGCACTGGTTTTGATATCTAAGTATAGAGAATCATGGACATGTACATGTTTTTAATAGACTACATGTTTACAATAATCTGGCAATTTTTTTCTTTATAATGCATATTTTATTGAATATTTTATCTTTTTCTTTTGGCAGAGATGCACCTGCTCATTGTCACTAAGGCAGGTTCTTGTTGGTTTTTAGGCCAATGAAGAGGGATAGATTTACTGTGTAGCACAAGTCAAACAGAAACTGTGTTGTGCAACATCATGTTTTTTAACCATAAGTGCAAAATGAAAAGCTGACAAGACCTCAAGTCTGACCCAACCATGGACAGATATTAATGACCTTTATTATACTGGCATTCTGTATCCTATGTTAGAAGACATTTTTGACTGAATATCTTTAAATATCTTGAACTAAATAATATAATTAATTATTATTATGTTACTGTTGTATGAACTGTTACTGTTGTATGTATTAGTGAAATTCAAGACAATAAAAAGTCAGTATATATGGAACAATTAGATAATTGCAAAGATTAATAAATATAGTCTGTTTCATATGACATGTTGGTTTTTTGTGTGCGCGTAATTTAAATTTACCTCAAAGTTGTTTCAAACACTTGGAAGCTAAGCAACAATACTGAAAATCTGGCAACATGCTTATGAAAATTTGTTTTATTTTTAATAGCTGTACTGTGTAATTCATAATAAATGGCGATTAATAAAGAAACTGTCAGTGCAGTATGGATTTTCACAATGGATTATCATCACTCCAGACGCTGGCTCCCCTCTCCTCTTCAAATGGACCCTTCCGTATCTTCCAAATCTGAGCCACAAACCTCAACCTGCCTTGCAAGGAATGTTCCATCACTGCAGCCCAGGGGAAATTTATCCTGTTGTAAGTTTGGTTGAGGAGATATTACTTTGGCTGGACCAGCGAGACAGAAAAGAAACATAATTACACCACAATAAATGAATGATAGCGTTCTGCGAAACCCCACACAAATGTCCAAAAGTTGAACAATGAAATTGGCCTGATTTTTCCATATATGATTGGACTGGTCACACTTTTCACCTTCAAGCAGATTTTAATTTCTCTCTTTTAGATTTTCCATTGCATCTCTCACTGCTGACATCTGCGAGGGAAGTAAGTGTGGGACATTTCAGTGTTTTTTTTTTTTTATTTACCACGTATTAGACAGGGTTCACTGATTTTAATAATATCACACCACAGCACTAAAGCTGTTTATCCCATTGTACTTCTATTTTAAGTGCTGTAAGGATAAAAACAACTACACAACATTTGGAATTTCATTCAATACAGGGTTTCTGATGTGTTTTATCCCTGCTTCTGACCACATCTCTGCAGACGCCCTCCTGCAACCCTAAAAGCTGCTTATGTGCCCCTTCATCCCAGCATGCTCTTCGATTATGACAAAATGTGAGATCAGGACACTCCAATTAGAGTCTAAGACCTGATGTGCTTATGCATGGAGTTGTTTTGTTTCTAAAACTTCCCTCTCTGAGATATCAGATTTAGAAACAGAACAACAATTCCATCAAGTATCTTATTAAAATATGACTGGTAGGGCAGGTTTTGTTTGTATGTTTTTACCATAATCATCATCATCATAACATACCTTGGTTGTCTTGCTGTGGTTCTTCACACTGGTGGGCTGTTTCTGCTCCTCCCCTTTCTCCGATCTCGTTGATCCCCCCTGAGAGACTGAGATCTGGGATGAAGACCTCTTTGCTGCCCCCTGCTGGAGTTCCTGCTCCAGTTCCTGTGTTTTTCTTCCCTGATGGTTTAATGTGTCAAGAGCATTCCAGTTCTAAATGTGTCACACAGCTGTTATTAATTTCTGTTTTAAAAGGCCAAAAAAAAAAGTATTCACTACTTGAATATGATGTAACCATACGAGGTGTTTACCTCAGTACTTGTAGCATTTTGGACCCTGCTGTTGACCAAACCAGATCTTCTTGTGAAAACTGGAGACCTAGTACACATATCACATACGTAAACATTTTGTTGTCAAATGTCAATAAAATCTGATTTACGGCCTCTTCTCCAAGGTGCATTTTAATGTCCGGTCCTGTCAAATGTGAATTATGACACTGGGAAAATTCCAGCGTTCCCACCCCCACTCCTCTTCCTGAGCCAGGATTCATGCAGATCTATTGAGTGAGAGTTAGGAGCAGGGTTATTGCCGTTAACTAAAACCATAGAAAATAACAATAACAAATTTGTTACTTGAAATAAAGTAAATGTTAACTGACATACAACAACTCAAAATTCAGCTAATTGCAGAGGAAACATTGTTCATTTTCATTTAGTTTAAATTGATGTACTAAAATAACTAAAACTATACAGACACATGTATAAAAAAAATATAAAACTAATGAAAAAAATAATGACAAAAACACAACAATATTATTCAAACTTTAATTAAAATTGAAATGGAAAATATAAGAATAAAAACGAATTTAAAATATTAATAAAAACTGTAATAGAATCTAAATTATACTAGAACTAAATAACTAAAACTAAAAAACGAATGAAATAAACTATTATTAACAACTACTGTTGTTGTTTTCTATACTAGAACTACTGGTTTCCAGTAGGTAAGTAAGTAACCATTACAAAAATTAACCATGGTTTTACTACAAATAAAAGAAACAAAACAAAAAAAAGGTTACTATAGTTAAACCATGGTAGCTACAAATTAACCATGGTTTTGCTGCACTAATGATAGTTTAATGGTATTTGTAGTAAAACTGTAGTCATACAAATGGTATACAATACGCCAAAAACATTGTTACTACACTTTTACTGTAATAAAACCATGATTAATTTTTTGTAATGGAAATAAATAAAAAATAATGACAATTAGTCACAAATTAATTTTGTAAATATGACTTTCGTTAAGTGGTCTTTCAAATATCTTTTTTTTTTTTGTACCAGAATTGCTGGTTACCAGACAAACACAAACAAACAAACAAATGAATAAACATATTACTGGTGTCACAGAAACAGTATTTTTTTGTAAATGCAACATTCTCAAATATAACTTTCTTTCACATATTTCTTGAATGTTTTCTGTACCAGAACTGCTGGTTTCCAGTTAAACTATCAGTTAAAATAGTCTTTTAGTCTTTTCCTTTCCTTTTTGATTTCAAAAACCAGTGGTTGTAGAATTTGCTTCAATTTGATATAAGGAATGATCACTAAAAAAGTCAGATAAACCTTGACTGATCTTGATTAATAATGTGCCCATTCAGTGTGTCTGACCATCCATTACATGGGCTCACTTACTGATTTCTCCACAGATTTTCAGTTAGGAACAGGAGGAGGGGGAGGGGAGAATGATGGAGCCTCTGAGTCTGGAATTTCCCCACAGTCTCATTTTTATATAAGAAGAAGTGGAAATAAACCCGCCTTGGGGGGAAGATAATGAATCAAACTGACTGACAACTGACAGAGTGTTTATGCTGCTCTACTGACCTCTCTCCACGCTGCTCTCTCTCTCTGAACAGACTTTTCAGCTGTAGCACAGAAAGGAGACACAAACAAGCACAGACAGGAAGTAAATACTATAACACTTTTTCTGATGAAGTGTTTAGGAGTTTTACTGTGGACACGGTGCAGCACCTGCTCGGTGACCTGCCTCCTCTGTTGGTTTGGATCTACAAGGTCTGAACCCGCGGGTTTCTGTTTTTTAGTCTCTAATGGAGATTCTTTCTCTGTTTTGTCCTGCGGAATGAAATGTCAATGAATAAACACACTAACACACATGTGCAAACAAACATCAGTCCGTACCTGCTGGGGAGGTTCAAGATCCTGCCGTTTTTGTAAAGTTCGGTCTCTTTCCTGCTCAAGCGTTTCTGCTCGCCTTCTGCTTTCTGGAGCCAAAACATAAAAACCAAGTACGTTGCAGGAAGATACTCATGAACGCTTAGCTAACACATTCCTGTTGTACAAAATGTGCGTTCTTCAGTTATTTTGGCAGGAACATTTCTCCAGTACACAAGGGGGCGATAGAGTCACCTACAAACTGCTGTGCTTTTAAAGTCCGCGTGAACCGGAAGTTGCTGCTGACTTTATTTCAGTGTTGTGACGTATTTCCAGCTGAAACGGAATATTGAATAGAGGGCATGGTTTTATGTTTGCGCTCCTCCTCTCTGTCTCTCACTCATACTGTAGCAATCTAACGGTTGGGGGGGTGTGTTTAAGGATATTCTGCCCAAGCCGTCAAACTGACGTCATCAGAAAAGGAATGCCATTCCAAAGAGGAAGCAAATTACCAGATTTTGATTAAAGATTACCAAAACAAACTGTTTTTTTCAGCGTATTAACTTGCACAGATTAATTGTTTACATCAAGACTAGCAATGTGCGGAAGAAAAGTAAATAAAGTAAATAAAGTCCATTTTGATTTCATGCGGACTGCTTTAAGCAGTATTCAGGTAGCAAGCTATACACAGGTCGACAGTTTCAGGTCATTTTAGTTTCAAACTACTCTGCCACCTTTACAGCAGATGCTAATGCTAATATGCTACAGAGCCCCTTCTAGTGTAAATGCTACACTTACTTGCACTGTGTTTTAAACACACTTCGGAACACAACAACATGTAAAATCGAGCTGGTATATCTAGGTGCTTTTGTGTTCTATTAATTATGATACATTTTTGGCCTTTACTCAATCTTAGCATGAGGAAATACCTTCTAGCAGGGCCTTCAGTGACTCAGAACTGCATTCACTGACCACTTCCTTTCTCGACAGCAGACCTTTGTGTCCAAAAATCTGCCCAAGGTAAGAGGCACAAAGACGTGTGATACTGAAACCTCGTCAGATTAATCTGTTCTGCCGTGAGAGAGTTTTAACGTCATGGCTGTCGTTGTACCTCCTGCTCCAGGGCGGATATCTTGATCTGAGCCTCTGCTTTCTGTGTTATCCTCTGTATCTCCAGGTTCTTCAGATCTTGATCCCTGTGGTAGAAAGAGAAAAAGAGCTGATGACAAGAAACCTGTCATACAGTTTATTGTTCCATAAAGGAACAATAAGCGGCTGCTTCCTGTTTTACTAGTTTTTGATAGCACTGAATGGTCACATTACATGACCGTTAAACCCCCAACTGGAAATAAATGGTCTGGTCATAAATGGTCATAAACGATATTAATTGTTCATCTTAAGGTCCTTAAACAGTCTCATACATCATTCATTCAAATATGGCCATAACTATTAATTTATGTTAGCACTGGTTATGTTGATATAAAATATATATCAGTTATATATACAGTATCTCACAGAAGTGAGTACACCCCTCCCATTTTTGTAAATATTTTATTATATCTTTTCATGTGACAAAACTGAAGAAATGACACTTTGCTTCAATGTAAAGTATTGAGTGTACAGCTTGTATAACAGTGTAAATTTGCTGTCCCCTCAAAATAACTCTACACACAGCCATTTATGTCTAAACCGCTGGCCACAAAAGTGAGTACACCCCTAAGTGAAAATGTCCAAATTGGGCCCAAAGTGTCAATATTTTGTGCGCCCACCATTATTTTCCAGCACTGCCTTAACCCTCTTCGGCATGAGTTCACCAGAGCTTCACAGGTTTCCACTGGAGTCCTCTTCCACTCCTCCATGATGACATCACTGAGCTGGTGGATGTTAGAGACCTTGAGATGCTCAATAGGGTTTAGGTCTGGAGACATGCTTGGCCAATCCATCACCTTTACCCTCAGCTTCTTTAGCAAGGCAGTGGTTGTCTTGGAGGTGTGTTTGGGGTCGTTATCATGTTGGAATACTGCCCTGCGGCCCAGTCTCCGAAGGGAGGGGATCATGCTCCGCTTCAGTATGTCACAGTACATGTTGGCATTCATGGTTCCCTCAATGAACTGTAGCTCCCCAGTGCCGGCAGCACTCATGCAGCCCCAGACCATGACACTCCCACCACCATGCTTGACTGTAGGCAAGACACACTTGTCTTTGTACTCCTCACCTGGTTGCCTCCACACACGCTTGACACCATCTGAACCAAATAAGTTTATCTTGGTCTCATCAGACCACAGGACATGGTTCCAGTAATCCATCTCTTTAGTCTGCTTGTCTTCAGCAAACTGTTTGCGGGCTTTCTTGTGCATCATCTTTAGAAGAGGCTGTCCTGAGAAACCTGTCCTGTTAAACCGCTGTATGGTCTTGGCCACCGTGCTGCAGCTCAGTTTCAGGGTCTTGGCAATCTTCTTATAGCCTACGCCATCTTTATGTAGAGCA